GGCGCGTCCTCGTGGGGGGGCCAAATACTTCCGACGGGGATGGTTTGCTTCACCATTCCATCGCATGCCGTTCGACTCCTGCTGCTGCGAGGCACAGCGGGTGCTTCTCCGTCGTTGCGACCGATGCCCAACAGAGATCTGACGGGGCCCGCGTCTGCTCCGCAGTGAATTATCGAGCGACCTCGTGTGCATAAGTGTCCACCTTGAATCTGGTTGTTCTCGGTGCCTTTCATCCTGCGGTCGAATTACTTGCGTGGTTTGTCTCCGTTCGCGGACGGGCCTCGCTAGTTGACTTGTCTCTGAATGCTTGCTGGCCTGGAAATCCCCCATATGTTCAGCTGACCGACCTCGTGCGCCCGCGAGCCATCTGTGCCCTGTCCACAATTGCCATGGGTCTGCCTGCGATGCTAATCTTCGGCGCCGCTAACTCCAACATGACCTTGCGCAACTTCCTCTCAGCCCTGAGGGCGTGGGCCGCTCGACTTTCCGGCGCCGCGAACAAGGGCGGGGCGGGGGGCGAACGGAGTCGGGCGAGGTCGTCGATGCGCAGGCTCTTCGTGCAAGAGGGCGAACATGCCTTCCACGTGACCCGGGTGGAAAGAAGCCTTTGCCCCGCCCCCTGCCGCGACGCCCCATTCCGAGAATGCCAATTCTGGAGACGAGCCCTGTAGAAGCGCCCGACGTGGCCAGAGGAGCATGTTGGCGGCGTAACTGAACACACGCGCCGGGCACTTGCTACGAGCGCCATGCCCCCGCAGGATGCGCCGGTCTATAAATTGGCAGAGGCTCTTGAGGTGCCAGAAGACTGCTGGCACTGAGTGCTGCTTCGCTACGACTTCTGTGCATCCAAGCCCACGTTGGACCTCTAGTCTGACCTGCGCTGAGCTCTCTGCGCCCCTCCCGCACCTCCTTCCCCAATCGTTGCGACGCCGTGCCCAGTGCCCGCCGCGCAAGTGGATTCAAAGAAGAGCACATGTCCGCGTCCTCTTGGCAACCCTCCAAGAACTCTAGCTACTGCGCTTTCGAATCCTACGAATCTGGCGGGAGCCTGGGTGGACATATGGCTCTGTTACTGGGAACTGTCCCATAAGCTCTTGCTACAAACGCCGAGAAGTCCTGGGTTGCGCTGCTTGGGGCGAGGTTCTTCCAAGGGGCGTCCGGGCGCAACAGGCATGCGGGGCTTCAGGGGGACATCCAGGTTTCTGACCCACCGCCGAACTGCGTGGGGCAAGAGGTGGGAAACCACATCGCAAATAAAAAAGGATTCCTGCTGCTCCAGTCTGCACAATGGGATGCAATCGTCTGCATGCGCACGGACGTCCTGCTGTATTGAATCGATGTGCTCCAGAAGTTGTAGCAATGAGATATTGACTGCGCCACCCATGACGTAGGACTGCCTGTGCTTCAACACGTCTTGGCCCACCGTCGTCAGGTGCCCCAGATATTCATCCCCCACTTCTCCTCCTGGCTCAAGGTAGATGGAGCATATTGTGACGATGCCAATGAAAACTCTGGCTATGCAGACCTTGGAATAAAAGGTGCCGTCTCCCGGGGAATGTACCAGCCCCGCGGATATCCATGAATTGTGGGTGCGCCTGGCTCGGCGTTGGCCTACTGGGGGGCCTCCCTCGCAAAAAGAGCCCGCGGCTCCCCGAGTAACCTCATATTTCCCACCGCCGCATGATAGATCAGCAGCACGAGCCCAGCAACCCCCACAGAGCGCTGGGATGCGAAGGCGGCGCCGAGGTGCACACGGCGGCGGGCGAAGGGCCGTGCGCTCCAAGGTGCCCCGCGTGCGGCGTCGGGCACTCCGGATCGCCCAATAATGGGGGGATGCCTTTGAAAGGGTCGAACGGGCCTCGTCAAACAAGACTGCGGCAGGGTCTCGGTATTGAACCCTTCGTTGCACCGCTCAGGGGGGAGGGGGTTCCAGACACGGTGTCATACACTTTTGCTGACCGCCCCCCCGCTGTTGTGAGATTTGGAATACTTGCTGGCGCGCCTCCAGCGGGGCGACGCACCCTGCGTCGGAACGCAGCCGCTGCACGGCGCGTCCAGGCGTGACAGCCCCTCGCAGTACCGACGCCCGCGGCACCGCGGGCTCCGAGAAGAGCACGTGCGCCGCATGCCAGCAGCAGGGCGCACTCGGGTCCGCACCGCGGCGGGGAACTTGGGCTCCAGCACCTGCTACTTTGCAGAGCCCTGGATCGACGCTGGATGGCGTCCAGCTTCCACTGCGAGGCATCCTCCAAATCGCTGGCTGAATCGTCGAGGCAAGGCGAGGCCGACTTGCGCCGCGCCGCCTGCGGTCGGGGCCCGGCCCTCGATAGCAGCTGCCAACGCGGGGGCAACGAGCCTGAGCCGCGTCGATCACTGCGTGAAGCTCCGCCAACTTCGCCTCCAGGGCGCACATCTGGTCAATGAGCTTCCACACGAGGTCGTCGGCTGCGTGAACAGCCCCCGCGCGCGCGCCACTGCCGCGCGCGCCCGCAGCTCCGCACTTCCGCTCTCGTCAAGCACCACTGGCACGTCCTTCAGCCTGCTTGGAAGCCTCCAACGTGAGGTCCGAGCAGGTAGGGCCGGAGGATCGCGCCGCATCGCCGATGCCTCGGCGACGTCGGTGTGGGGAACATCCAGCTCCATAGCGGGGCGCATCGGCGATGCTCGGACCCTGGCCCTTTGTGGGAGGCATAGGCCGCGGCAGCAGAACATCTCCAACAACGCCAAGCTGGGCGCACGTGACGGGCGAGCCGGATTGAACAAAAGAGGTATGCCAGCTGCGGGATGTTTAAGCTAAAATGGCTAGGGGGAGGGGACGGGGATGGGTGGAGTTCTTCGGAGGAAGAACATTGTACGATGAAGACGAAGGAACATCTGAACGATTCACTTCGCAGAAGCGGAACCCGACGCAAAAGCCGAGCGAAAACTTGGCCATCAGAAAACGAACAATATGAATACGACAAGGTATAGGCAGGAGGCGACGGCAAGGGCGAAATAGCGACAGGGTACGGGATCATACATATAGTGTGAAGAGTGTGAAAATGGAACGGAACGATGAAGCGAAAGAGGGCAGCTAAAAACAATCAGAGCAACGAAACCATGGGGGATGAAAAGATGAGGCGGGAAGACGGCATTTCAAAACCGTCATGCGAGAAATCCGAAGACCATGCCCAATATCGAACAACATGAACCACATGCAGCACGCACTGCGAACGGAAACGCAGTCGAAACCTGACTGGGAAGAAAACTGCAAACGGCATGGGGAATGGCAACGAGATACCTCATAAGAAAATGAGGGACGAGGTACAGGGTATGCCAGGATATACACGAATGCAACGAGGGTGATAATGCGCAATGTGAGCAAGAAGAGCCACATGCACAGAGACGAGCGATTCCTGCGACAATGGTCTGAATCTATTCGGGGGGGAGCGTTGAGATTGAGACGGTTATGAAATGGATGACGACGACGCACGCGAGGAACATGAATACAAATGGGAGGACGCCTGGGAATATGATTAGGACTTTGGCAGTGAGGGGGAACTGGGGACTGATAGGGGGGAAAATGACGAGGGAGAGAAATCCACCGATCCCCGCTCGCCAGGGGTGGAAAAGCGTGTGTGACAGTTGGCTGTCCCCCTTCCCCTGTCCCACTCGTTTGGGGCCCAACATGCTGTCTGAGAAGGGAGAGGGGGGGACGAGCTAATCAACGCACCCCCGGGGCCTCCGGAGCCTCCAAAAAGCCTTAAGATGGCCCGCGACAAGGAGCCAAGACAGTCGAAGAAAGCGTCGAAACAGCCCCGAGTAGCCCGACAACGACCCAAGATGAATTCAAGATGGTCTACAAGGCCCCCAATACGGCACCAAAGTGTTCCCAGAGGACCGCCGAAAAGGCCTACGAGGCAACAGTCGTCCAATTCTGTCTGAACACCTTACATGTTTTCCACAATCGCAGTTTCGTCATGACAGCTTCTAAGACTGACCAAGGGACCCCAACATCGTCACAAGACGGCCGATGAGGCCCCCAAGAGGGCCCCAAGACGGCACAAGAAGGCCCTGAGACGGCCCAAGGGTCCCCCAAGACGGCCTAAGAGAGCCTAAACCGATATTTCGAGCCTTCCCCCCAGGGGCCAGGCTCCTGAAAGCCTCCCAGATTCACCAAAGAGGCCTCTAAGAGGCCCCTGAGAGGCATCCCAAGAGACACTCAAATTCATCCAAGAGGCTCCCGACACACAGCCCAGATACTGTGGCGGGTTGAGCCCAAGGTCACTAGATAACTTCCACGATCGCCACAAACTCTGACTCCTCCTGGGGGTCGGCGGAACGGCGTAAACCACTCACAACATGATAGCTATGACAGCGAAGAGAAATCTAAAACATATGATACAAGTGTACGGAATAATTGGACCCCAAACAAGTGCGGTGACAAACCGTGCGGTGACAGACCGTGCGGTGACCTCGGACTCCCCAAATACCTCACAGCACGGCCGGTCACCGGACCGTGTTGAGACCTCGGAGGCCCCAGTCGCCCGAGACGTCCTCGGAGAACGATCAAAAACCCAGAACCGTGCGGTCACTCCGAATCCCCACTGACTCACCACACCGTGTGGTCACCGCACCGTTTGGGGACATCCGAGGGTAGCGATCACGTTGATGCAAAATCTGGCGAGAGAAGATCAGCCGAAGAAAGCGCGCACGAGAAATCCGCGAATACCTCCGAAAATGTATGTGTATGAAGTTTCTCCTTCGGCACAGGGCGTACGGGACCAGCCATGCACATAAACACGGCCCCCCAATCCGCGAGAACAGCCTCGTGTTGCGAACGTTCGCACAGTGCAGACTCTCGGAGCCCACGAAAATATGTGCGCACGTACGTCGTTCATTCGCTCCTGATCTGGGGGTTCTCGCAACTCAGCTGTCCAGGAGCCCGTGTTGAGCGGACTTTGATGCCCAGGGACGACGACGACGAGGGTGGCGCGGCGGCGGAGGCAGCCGCGGCGAACCGCGGCTGCTGTTGTACTTCCTTCTCTCGAAGGCGACAACGTAGGCGTAGACGATGCAGCCTGCGATAGCTTCGACGACCGACTGTCGAGGTCTGTGGGCGGCTTAGGCCTGTGCCAGGCCTCTTGGACTCGAGGCGTCGTTTGGAGCATCCTCGAACTTGCTGCGCTGTGGGCGCCATCGGCCCCCTAGAGGGCCTCCGGAGGCCTCCGCGGGGCCTCTAGAGGTAAGTCGGGCGTGTCCCCCTACAGGGGGATTTTGGGCGAAACACTAGAGATACTACAAACATACCCCAAAATGGTCAAAAATAATGCAAAAATCGCCTCGAGACTATGTTTTAATTCTTTTTGAATATTCCTCCTGTAGAGGGACAGGCCCGACCTAACTCTAGAGTTCGGAGGGTGAAATCGCAAGCGATGCAGTCTGCGAGCTCAGGGTGGGCGCGGGGGGGCGTGGGGACAAGTCGCGCGCGCTCGCGCCCTCCGACCTTTGCGACGAGGCTCGGTGGCGCGAAAAAGAGCTTGGCGAGAAGGGGGGGCGGTCTTGTAGGAAGGCTGGGGGCTCTTTTGGCTCTTTGAAGACAGGGGAGGGCCGGGAGGCTTCCAAGAGGGCTCCTTAGAAGCACGGAGGGCTTCTAAGAAGCCCCCTGGCTCCTTAGAAAGCCACCCCCTCGTGTAAGACGAAACCCGGACCGAGACAACATCGGACTGAGACAAATCGGAGGACTCTGAGATCTGGCGTTTCTGGAGGATGCATCGGGCGCCGCGGCCGTTCCAAACAAAACGCTCTGAGACGAGCGCTCTGAGAGCGTCCCGGTCCTGGGCCCTTCCGATCGTGTGCATCACCGAAGGGACCACTGCCCGATGGACCTTGCACGTGAGTGCGTTGCGCTGGCTACGGTACCGCTCCTGGCCACAAGCAGCAAGGTTGCTCGTGGTCACTGCTGGCACTCTTGGATGCGACAGGCCACCCCGACTCTCCAGCCCACAGCAATCGATTCTCCTTTTCCCCCTCGTTCCCCCTCCCCCCCCCCTCCTCCTCCTCCGGGAGCCGGGCGCCGGGCGCCAGGGGCCCTGCAACCCAAAGGGCAGTCGGCTGCGCCGCAAGCCCGGCCGACCCAGTCCTTTCCGTGGCCAGCCTTTTCCGCGGAGGCACGTTCGCTCCTCCCTCCCTCCTCCTCCTCCTCCTCCTCCTCCTCCTCCTCCTCCTTGCCCCATATCGGTGGCGGAAGTTTCGACCGCGCTTTCCGGTCAGCTTCTGACAGCTGATTTCGGCGTGCATTTGGCGTGTCGTGGCCTTCCCCCGTCTGTGCCCGAGTCCGGGGGCTGTGCAGGGTTTTTGCGTTCGTGGCTGCACTGCTTGTCCTGGCAGGTTCCCCTGTCAATCAGCTCTGGGGCGCTCCCTCGCTCCGCCCTGCGCCTGTCCTCCTTCGCTTCTTCTGTGCCTCTCCTGTCCTCATGCTGGTTCGCCAGTCCAGCCCGCGTCCTCCCCCTTCTCCAGAACCTTCTCCTCTCCTCATTCACCCCCTCCTTCGTCGCCTCGTCCTCTTCCTCCTTCCTCCTACTCGCGCCCCCTGTATCCTTGTAATCCCACCTGCCCTCTGGGCGAAGATGGTTTAGCGCGATTCCTCTTCCATCTCCCCCCCGTCTGCCCCTTCGGGGAAGGGTTTATACCTCTCCCTGCCCCCCTGCCCCTGGGCCTGGATGGGGGGGGCCGCGGGCGGCCATAGCGCCCAAGATGGCCTCAGCGAGGAAATATCCAAATCTTTTTCCAGATTGTGGGGCGGCGACCCCCTTTTGGATAGATCGCCTCGAAGATGGCCCCAAGAATCACCAAATATAGGCGAACCCCAAGAGTCCTCCAAGAAGCGCCAAAGAGGCGTATGAGAGGCGCCCAAGCGGCCCCGAAAAAACAGGAGGCACCAAAAACGCTCCCAGAGATCTCCCAAGAGCCGGAAAGAAGCCCGAAGAGACAGCTAAGACTTTTGTGCAGCTCCTCTGGGCATCGTGTTTGTATGGGCTGGCTGGGATACCCGAGGTGTTTAGGACATGTCCCTGCCTCCCCTCGTCCTCCTCCCGCTCCCGCCCCACCATCCCCTCCCTCAACACAGCTCTGGCTCCCCCTTCTTCCAGCAGCGCCTCCACACCCCGTCTCGTCTATGCCTCCGCCAACTCCGACTGTCTATGAGCATTCCTGTCCAACTGCAACGGGAGTTTGCCACGACGAACCTCATCATAATCCCTCCTTCCCATTCGTCACCGACTCATTCTCATCAACTCTCACGAATTATTATTGACGCAGTTATCCTTTTCTCTACTCATCCTATCTCATCCTTCACCTCATCTCCTCATCATCCCACCTCCTCCCATTCCACCCCCATCATCCCCTGTCCTTCGAGATACTGCCTCAACCTCTTCCCTACGCCGCCTCGTCCTTCCCCTTTCCTCGCCTCTGCTATCCTCCCTCCTCTCCCCCTATATCTGCCGACTGTTCCTCTGCATCCTCTCGTTCTCTCACTCCCCTTCTCTCTCTCTCTCACTCTCTATATGTATAGCTGTCTTTATCTCGCGTTCTATCTCTGTATCTCTCTCTCTTTCTGTCCTTCTCCCCCTCTCCATCGATGTGTGTGTGTCTTTGTTTTTGCTTGTGCTTTGTTTGTTATCTCTCTCTCTCTCTCTGGATTTGCCTCTCTCGTTCCCCGTTTCTCGGCTCCTTCTCTCTCTCTGTCTCTCTTTACATATCATTACCCCCCCAGGCATGATCGGTATTTCCAAATCGATGTATGTACATGTATATGTATGTACCCCTGTCCATCGCCTTCATGTCCTCCAATTTGATGTGCATACTCGAATTCTAGAACCACACGCGCTGGCTACGCGCGCTCAGCGTCTAACCAATCCCGAAGAAAACATTCGTACTAAAAAGCTATGACATGCCCAAGACGTTTGGAAACCTTCGACAACATGAACGTTCGGCTTGATCACGCTCAAAATACCGTGATCCGCTACTGCACTCAGAGTTCAACATTCGAAAACCGCGTGGCAACCTTGTAACATAATGGCGGGCCACACTGAATCCTGCTGGCTGCTCGTGGGAGAAGCTCTGCACATCTGACTGGCAGCCGCACCTGAGAGGACCCAGACATGGAAGAGGACAAGGCAGAGAAGGACGCGGGCAATAAACAAAGCTGGCTAATTCGGGACAGATCCCCGAACTTCGTGGCTCGGGGCGTCGCGAGCAGCCCAGGACCGACGGGGACGAGGAGATGGAGGGGGATGAAGCGGACGCGGAGCTGTCCGGCGTCATGAAAACACTCACTGTTCACTAGAATCCAGAGCTCGCCTCCGCGAACACGCGACGATGAGCGCCGCCATCCCAGACCGCAAACATCACATAGTCGTGCTCTGCAACCAGTCGTACCAAGACTTCGTGAAGGGGCGCAAGGCCGACCCAAAAGCAGATAGCGGCTCCCCCATCTCCCAAGCGGCCCACAGCAATCTGCTCATCTTGGGAGACAGGCCCGTCAAGGACATCTCAGCGAGCAGGTCCAAGATGAAGCTCGTGATAGAGCACATCGTCGCCATGGTAAGTGGCTCGGAACAAGAAGGAATAGCGAGGTGCATCAAAAAAGCAGCAATGTTCCCAACCTTCGCCACGCCGGGCACACCATGAGGATATGATCGAGGCTACCCAAAAGCAAGGCCACCCCCATCCACGCACTGGGCCCGCTGGGGATCCCCACCGCAATGCTGCAAATCACGGGCGTACCTGCGGATGTCGAAGCCGCGGCCGGGCAGCAGGTCAGGCACGTCGGCGGGAAAATCACCCTGAGCAGGGCGCCGCGGGGGGATCTAGCCAGGTTGTTCTCTGGCCCGCCTTGGTCTGGCACCAGTGGACTAGCGGCCAAGCCCCCGCCCGCGACGACAGCGTTCTGCCCGTGCTGCCCACGATGGCTGGGCCGAGTCGGCTCCTGTGCGCCATGCGGAGCATACCATGTGCATCACGTGCGCGCGAACGCATGTTCGACGTCGTCGACGCACTGCCAGACAGAGACGCGCACGCATTGACAGGCACGCGGGCCAAGTCGTTCGAGCAGATCGTAAATGATACCAGGATGCCCAAACAAAAATGTAGCACGGAACTCAGATGCAAAAGGGGCACGCACGTCAACCCACCACGCGGCATTACTTTCTCACCGACTCGTTCTCAGCTCCCGCGTAGCTCCTTCAAGCGCGCGGCGCGAGACACCCGAGCTACATTGAGGGAGATGTGGAGCCATCAGCATACAGAAAAGCAACGTCTCTCGAGCACTGCGGCGCGCCAACGAGAAGACGATGCAACTAATGACCGACTGGCGCGGCGGCATCCCCCAGCACATGTCGAGGTACCGCGCGGTGCCCATGAATTTTACTGATCTGGATGGTGGGCGGTCTTGCTACAATGAAGACAAATCAGCAAGCGACATTGCTGGAAATCGCAATCTGATTCTACCGGGCGGAGACTCCTGTCCGCCAGATGAAACATGAGCGCGGCCAACGATTTGTTCTGCCATCCTCCTTCCCACGTGGGGGGGTGGGGCAAATCGGAGCCGCGCGTCGACCGCATTCGTATACCAAACGAGTTGGTGCAGGGCGTGGGAAAATACAGCAGGTCGCACATCGTGCTTACATGGCACGCATCATATCCAAAACCATGTTTACGACATTGAGTCAGCCGGGGCCACCCGACCCACCAAGGAAGCATTTCTTCATTGAATGCAGAAGTGGTTCACCTAACGGGGCCAATTCGACTAGATGGAACCACTTGTAAATGACAAAAACGACTTGTGCAGCGAGCTTGAAACCCGCGAGGTCATTGATCGCGTGAACCACGGGTTTGTGGAGTGTGTGAATACGCCGCGAGCCCCCTTGCACACCGAGTCGCGGCTAGCGCGAATCGAACACCTCAAGCAGCTACTCTCTGCCCGACGAGACCTACGACGTGAGGGCTGGCTCGATGATAGAAGTTCATGTTCACATGATTTCAGCGAGTGTCAAGGGGAGTAGCAATTAGTTGAGATGGAATGCGCCACAATATTGGGACGAGGTGACCCAGGGAAGGATACCCGAGCACAACGAGGCGGCCGAGAAATTCAATCATTACCTTGTTCAACGGATTGCACGACTCCTTGCTGACGAGCGTAATGGCCCACAGGGTAAATATGCAACTATATCGACCTCAGCAGCATCGGCACACGGATACAGTCTACGAATGGTGCTCCCAGCTCGACAGGGAGGGATCTGAGCTACGCCGACAGATCCAGCTAGCATCATGAGGAAAGTGCAAGGCGGAAACAGGTATCAGCTGGGCAACGATGAAGCGATGTATCTGTCTTCCGAAGATTTGGGACTTGATTGTCTGATCTGACTAGATTTGGACAATGAGAATATGCATAAATTATCCGAAGTGGAAGGTTTCTGCTAAAACCCTCAAACTTGTTGGGTGGGTAAAAGCCCAACGACCCGCGCCAACGACAGGGATCGGATATTCAAACAAAGAGATCAAGCCACCTGCAAATGTTCAAGGATTTCTCAGGAACTACACAATTTATGCCAAGAGGTTTGGCCGTGCACATCAGGGATGGCACGCAGCTCGGGCAGCTCGGCTTCCCAGAGGAAAACGACATATCGCAGTAGACTGGGAACGCACCAGCATGATCAAAACGGGTCTGGGGGGCCCCAAAGCCCCAGATCTCGGGGGTCCATTTTGTGTTGGGGAGGGGGGAGGGGGGTGGTTGTTCCCGCCCCCCGGCTTGCAAACATGTAGGAGGAGGGAGACATCGATGTCTGTATACACGTCCCTAAATATCAGACGCATGAGATATACATATACAGATGCATTGATTTACAGATCAACAGATATACATGTATAGGTGTTTGTGTACGCGTATGCCACACGCTAGCTTTCTGTACACCCGCTGCTGTCGTGTCTGTGTAAAAATACATGAACCATTCAATGAATCTACCAATCAAAATCTATCACTAGTTCTGTAGATATAAATACCACTGGCTCACTCTCTCTCTCCCACTGTGCTGTGCTGCTCTCTCGCTCTCTCTCTCTCTCTCGTGTTCTCTCTCTCTCTCTCTCTCTCTACCGCTCTCCCTCTCGCGTAACCCCTCCGGCATGTATACTCTTCCTGACCAACCTCTTCATCATCATATACATCATCAACCTGCTCACCATCCAGCTCGATTCACCGCTCATGCGCAAACAGACTTCAAGCTCTAAGACTGCATGGCGATCGTGTCCCGCGCGCAAAGTCGACAATTCTCACCTCCAGTATGGATAGGCTCGTCGCTCTTGAGGACTAAAGGGGGGACAAACGAGTTTTGTGACGGGGGGGCGGGGCGCATGGTGGGAAGGGGACTTGTATACATACATATATATACAGTTATATATACATATATATATACATATATATATATATATACATATCTACATATGCATGTATGCATACACACGTGTGTACATATATATATATATATATATATGCACACACCGCCAGGAAACTACACACGTCCTGGGACACGCCCATGGATGTGGATGTGGACTGCCCCCCACCGAGCCCCGAATTGATCCATGTCCGCTACATCTTGCTGCTTCGGAGCATCGGCTCCCCAGGCGGTGGAGAAGCTAGAATAATAATAACACGAAACAGCGCATAAACACAAACGGTCCGCCGTCCGCGCGGAGCTCCGAAAGTTGATGCCTTCGTGTTTATTTCTCGCGCAAACTCACTTCTCTGAAGAAGATATATACCCCTTCCCCGGGTCCCAGCTAAAGTTATGCCATTGTCTGACGGCGCATTGGTGAGAAGACACGTTAGGGAATGACTGGCTCAGGAGGGGGGTTATCGACCTGGAGTCAGCGATACAGCATCGTCGATAGGTTGGCGATAGCCCCTGGTGTCTTACCTCCCCCCGCCCACGCCTGCCCCAGCCTCCACTACCGTTCAGGAAAGCCGTTGGCGACGTACACACCGGAACGGTGCGAGATGCGTGGGGCTTCGAAGAAGCCAGCCCAACTGATTCAAGCCGTCTTCGGCATGTCCTGGCCGCTCTAGGAAGCCTCCCCCCCTGACTTCCAGGAAACAGGCCGCCTTCTTAGAATGCCACCCCCGTCGCGCCATCCCCGTGTGTGCGCACCGCGAAGATCCGTCTGCGCGCCCCTACCTCGCCCCCATCCCTGCGGCACCCCCCGAGCCCTCGCCTAGGCACAGCAAGACCAGCAGGACGAGGAAGCCTCCCCCACACGCGGATGGATGAACAACAGCAGCGGCCAAAAGGAAGCGGAGAGGGGAGGGAAAGGGAAGGGTTGCGCGAGTCCTCCGAGGTCTCCAGGAGTACCTGGGAGCCTCCGGATGCATCGCTAAACAAGCAAACAAACAAATAACTGACCCCTGGAGCCTTGCGAATCGATGGGTCGGTTAGATTGGGCGGGTGGGGGAATGGTGGGGGGGACAGAGGTAGGACAGAACAAGGAACAGGACTGAGACACATCGACTTGGACAACGTGCGGAACTACACATGAAGAGGCGTAGAAGCAGCAGCCCCGACCCTGGCGAGGCGGCATGCGCCTTGAAAAGGCCTACAGGAGCAAAGCGAGCGGTGCGGGCCGCCCCCCCCCCCCTGTCTGTGAGGGATAACGTGGGGGGGGGGGGGGCGGCAGCTCGGGGGGAGGAACATCGAGCCTGAATCGGCAAGACAACGTGGATGGATCGGCGACGGGTCCCCCGGGCGGGGTGGGCCATCGGGCCCCCATCGGCGCTGAATGGGCGATGGGGGGTCGATGTATCCCCCCTGAACCTATCCCCCCTTGACGTTGCCCCTGAGGGTGCCGCCACCCGAGGTCGGCATCGCCCGAGGGGCAGCATGCGCCTCGGGGGTGCCCCACCAGACAAACTGGCAACACTAGCCGGCTGTGCCGCACAGGCCGCCACCCGAGGCCACCCCGCCCACCGAGGCAGGCGGGCGCCTCGCATGGTCCTGCCAGCCCAGGAAGCGGGCACAATCACGTGCCAAACGCCGCAGGCCATCCCTTCACGAGCTAATGAGACTGCCGGCGTGGGCCGCGCCCGCACGGAGCCGCCCAGGTAGCCCCGTCCCCACCGACCAAAGAGCCATGTGCCTCGCAAGGGCCTGCTGCGCCGTAGACGCCAACACGGGGCCTTGCCGCAATGGCCGCCGCCCTACGGCAGCCCTACCCCCGCCCCCAGCGGGGCAGCATGCGCAACTTACCTTAATGATGCTTGATGATCCACAGTGTGGCCCCGCAATTTAACCCTGACCGACGCCGTTGGCCTTGGCCCGAACGACCGCACGTCGAAACTGGTGATGTAGTCTGACAGCATCACACGCGAAAGCAGGCACGGACAAAGGGCACTTGGGCTTGGGCTGGCAAATGCGAAGCGGCATACCGCTTCACAATTCCGTCCGCCGCTGCGTCCCCGTCCGCTAAGAAGCGCTCGAAATTCCGTCGCCGACATCTGTCATCGTGGAGTGTCCCTTTACGTGACGAGTCCAAACGTTTTGATCCTGGGCAAATGGTTCTAACAGGTTGGCTCTGACATTGATGGTGCCTTGAGCCTGGTAGGGATTGTGGCAACAGGCGACGGAACGGTTGCGGTCCGACGGCGCAATGTGCGCGCGGGTTCTTAACGCAAGATGTCTTCGTAAACGTTGACTTTGAACCGCAAACCGCACTCTCACGGAACACATTCAAAACTATTGGACATGTGGACCATGTGTGCAACTTGCGCCCCTTAAACCTTCTGCATCTCTCATGGCAAGTGTATCAAACAGACAACTGCACCCGTCAATACAACAGGGCATCGCCCTCGACATGAGATATTCCAATCTTCCCAATGCCTACAACGCAGAACATCGTTGAAGAAAGTCCGGAATGGGTTCAGACCCCCCCCCTCCTCTCCCATCCCCCCCCCGCGACCGAGGATGGCCATGTCCGGGTTGACCTGGTGCGAGGCAGACCAGAGGTGGACCCGGGACTCGCTCCCTCGCTGCATCACCACATTCCCCCCCCCTCCCTCCCTTCCCTGCCACACTCCCTCCTTCCCCCCCTCCTCCTTCCCCGTAGCGGCGGCAGCGGCACTGCCGAAACACGCCCAAAATTCAGCCAAGCGTGAGGGTGCATCAGCCGACCTGTCTGGCTGATGCCCTCGGGGGGCCTGTGTTCAGTGCTCAGGGGAGGCTGCATCAGCGCCCAACGATGTCCTGTCAACCAAATCTGCAGGGTTGGCTCTTTCCAAAAGTCTGTGCACTTCGGCTTTAGCTTCGGCCTCATCTTTGGGTGCGCCGTGGAACGCCTTCGGGCCACGAACCGGCTTTCCGCTCTTGGGTGCCCCTACCTCCCCTCCTCCTCCTCCTCGTCCTCAGCCTTCTTCCGCGACCAGCCGCAACTGCAGCCTCCCCTCCTCCTCCTCTTCCTCAGCCTCTTCCTCAGCCTCCTTCCGCGGCCAGCCTCAACCTCCTTCGGCTACCAGCCTTCGTCCTTTGAGCAGGGACCGACCGTCCCGGCATTCCTATAGTCCTACCACGAAATGTTCTTAGAACCCAGAAAAGTTCTGATAACACAAACAACGTTCTCAGAACATTAACCCGATGTGTTAAACCAAGACGGTCTCAATCAGAAAGGTTCTGAGAACACCTCATGCAAACCACGACACATTCTTAGAACATTATTTGGTGGAGCTATCGGCGAGCCGCGACGCTTCGCCACTGTTTGAACCAAGACAGTCTCACTCAAGCATGTTCTAAGACAATTTCGTGCAAACCACGACACATTCTTAGATTATTTGGTGGGGCTATTAGGCGAGCCGCGACGCTTCGCCACTGCCTCCTTCCGCGACCAACTCCTGCGTGGCGAGCCTCCTTCCGCGACCAACTCCTGCGTGGCGAGCATCCGCGACCAATTCCTGCGTGGCGAATCCTCTTCCTGCGTGGCGAGCATCCACGACCAACTCCTGCGTGGCGAGCATCCGCGTGGCGAGCATCCGCGACCAACTCCAACGTGGCGAATCCTCTTCCTCAGCCTCCTTCCGCGACCAGCTCCTGCGTGGCGAGCATCCGCGACCAACTCCAACGTGGCGAATCCTCTTCCCCAGCCTCTGCCGACGCCGTCAAGAGGGGCCGCCGTGCCCGCCCGCCCGCGGACGGCACAGCACCGCACCCGCTCTGCAACGAGCCTCCTCGTCTTGCCCCCCATGCCTCCTCTTCCCCCCTCTTCCCTCTCTTCCCCGGCGGTTCCCTCCTCCCCCCCCTTCTCCCTCTCTCCCTGCCCCTCCCTCCCGCTCCTCCCCGGCTCCTCCCCGGCTCCTCCCCGGCTCCTCAGTCCTTCCTCCCTCAACGCCCCCCCTGCCTTTATCTGGATGAATAGATCCACGCGCGCGCTTCGTGCGCGCTTCGGTTCTAGTCGCGATCGAAGATGGATCATTGCAAACTGCCGTTGGGCACTGCCAAGTTGACTCGGGAATTCCCTTAAGGTTCGTCGTGGGACCTGCCGCAATTTGATACGGTAGCCCAAAAGTCATATCAGCGGGTCTTGGGGGAATCTACGACGCGTCGTCAGGGGCTGGGAGACATCAAAGGAAAACTGGGGTGCCCGAGTCTGGCCCCGCACTGCACGTCGCTGGAGCCGAAGCATGGTGCATCGGGACCGTCGAGCGCGCTTCGCGCGCGGTCAAGTTCTAGCCAATCACCGCACACTGAAGATGGAAATCTTCTCCTTCGCTGGCTCTGAATCCTACTGTTCCTTTTCTTCCCTTCCCCCCCTATTGTCTCTTTCCGTATATTTCTTTTTCCGCTTCGTCCTCCTCCTCCTCCTCCTTCGCATGCGCCCTCGGTGGTATTCTTGGCCTCGGTTGTAGATGCCCCTCCTGCCTGGATCCCCGTCTCATCCACGATAATGTCCCGATGGCCTCCAAGATGGCAGCAAGAGAGGCTCGAAAGGTCCGAAGCAAGGGCTCCACAGGCCCCCAAGGGACCCCCAGGAGGCGTGTTTCCTGGGCTTCAAGATGACTCCAAGATAGGCCCAAAGAAGGCCAAGCGGCGCTCCCCCCCTGGGCCTGCAGGGGCCCGGTCGCGAGGTGACGGAGAGCCCTTCTTGGCTGATGATGGCACCAAGTGGAGCCCAAGATGGCCTCTAACGTCGCACAAGGGGGCGGAAGGCTGGAATTGTGGGCTCATGTTCACCCTCTTGGGGCCTTCTTGGGCTGCTTCGGGGCCCCGCTTGGACCGTCTTGGGGGGCCTCTTGGGCCGTCCTGAGGTTCTCTGGCTCCTGGAAGTTCTCTGATGCCGTCGTAGGTCTTCCTTAGACCCCTCTTGGGCCGTTTCGGAGCGGTCTTGGGCGACTCCAGAGCCGTACAGGAGCGTTGGAAGCCCGAAACGGTAACACCGACCAAATCCTTCAAAACGTAAAAAGAAAAATCTATGAGATTGGTCTCTTGGGACACTCGTCGGGGTTCGCTTGGAGCCTTCTGGGGCTGTCTTGGGGGCCTCTTAGTCCGTTTGTAAGCTTCTTGGGCCGTCTGAGACCCCTGGAGGCCGTCTTCGGGGTGGCTCGGGGCCATCTTGGGCCGCCATGGCGGCTGTCTGATCAATCTGGAGGCCGATTTGCGGCCCCCTAACACTGGGCCTGGCCCTGAAACGCCCCGACAAAGGTCGCCCCCCCCCCCGGACTAAAAATGGAAGAGGGGGGAATTTTGAGAAAAAAACTGCCCCCGGGGCCGGGGGGTCCGGTTCCCCGTTGTATGATATAGTATCCGCAATCGCGCCTTTTTTTCATGTTGGGCCGTTGCAGTGCTCCTCTGCTGTCTAGTCAGACATCTCGAGCGTCTTCTAGGGATCACCCCATCCCAAGGTCGCGCGCGTCACATAAAACCGCCCACCCTCTCCGGAAGATGTCGGGTAGTTATAGTTTCAACTTCAAACAGCAGACAATAGAAACGGACGAGGAGACTCCCTTGCCAAGAAACACCAAAACAACCAAACAACGAATCACACATCCAAACCGGCAAACACAATACAGCGAAACCAACCCAACAACGCCCTCAAAACAGCCAAGCTCGGCCCAATACGGCCACAAGGCCTCCGACTGCGGCCCCACTGCTGCCCAATAAGGCCCCCTGACGCTGCGGCGAGCGCCTCCCAGGAGCCCCAAAAAGGCCAACACGAGGCAAGGGCTGATGGGCACGTTTTCCAACACCACCACCACAAGTTGGAGGGGGGAGGAGGTGGTGGAGGAGGAGGAGGACGACGAAGAATAGGAGGAGGAGGACGAGGAGGAAGAGGAGGACCCACCCCCTCCAACTGATGGTGGAGGAGGAGGAAGAAAAAAAGAGGAGGAGGAGGAGGAGGAGGAGGAGGAGGAGGAGGAGGAGGAGGAGGAGGAGGAGGAGGAGGAGAAGAGGAGGAGGAGAGGAGGAAAAGGAGGAGGAGGAGGAGGAGGAGGAGGAGGAGGAGGGAGGAGGAGGAGGAGGAGAGGAGGAGGAGGAGGAGGGGAGGAGGAGGAGGAGGAGGAGGGAGGAGGAGGAGGAGGAGGAGGAGGAGGAGGAGGAGGAGGAGGAGGAGGAGGAGGAGGAGGAGGAGGAGGAGGAGGAGGTAAGGGCAGCGGCAGCGCATCGGTCGACCCACGCGCGCGCGCGAGCCCGCCGCGGTGAGGCGCTGGGGCGGCGGCGCCTCGGGGGCGCCCAGGGACGCGCCGCCCGACGCCACGGAGACGGGGCCTGGGCCGCCGCGGGCGGCGTGCTTCGGGAGCCCACCCAGGACGCACGCGCCCAACAACGTACATTCAATCGGGGATGGACAGACCCCCCTTTAGTAAAACGTGGTTTAATGAAAACGACATGAGGCCCAAACCTGGCGGGCGCAAGCCAGGAAAATAGCGGCCACGGCGCCCTCTCGAGAACCGAAAACGGACAATTCACTAATCGACGTGTCACTGTTGGGGGTTCTGTCCACCCCCGACTCAACCAGTATAGTAAGGATGCGCGATAAGTGTGCAAGGGCCTTGGACGCCCGTCCCGAAACTTTTCGAGCGGGGCGCGGCCAGAGAAAGCGGCGAAGGATGGACCGAGGAACAAAGGATGCAAGGGTACCTTTGGGAAGGTTGCCCATCGTTACTATGTTTGTGCGCGAAGAGGGCCCCCAATCCGCGAAACCGACCTCGTGGCACAAGCATCCACGAAGTGCGTACGTTGAAAACCAACGTGGGTTCATTCATCTGCGTGCGCGTCCTTCTATTTCGCTCCAGATTTGTGGCGGCGCAACTCAACAGGTGCTGAGCAAGGCTACGAGTGCTGAGCAGCGCTACGGGGGGGCATTTGCCCACGAGTTGGGATTTACGACGCGGCCATCCGTAGACAATCGCTGCATTGCAGAATCCCCTGCCTGTCAATTCACAAGCTGGCAACATTCAGAGTGGCTTGGCCCTGGCAGGGGCTGAACGACTTCTGAACTCGGAACTGCACCCCATGGTCTGCGACCGGGCGCCAGCCCAAGCGGGTTCGAGGAGGAGGGGGAGGAAACAGGACAACCAGGAGTAGGAAAGGGAACAGGGCATACACGGAGAACCCGGGGGGTCAATGGAGAGTACGGAAGGCCAGAAGGCCAGGGGGAACATAAGGGTGGGTGTAATGGAATACCAGGAGGAGGCGGAGGACTAGAAGGATAAACCGTGGGAGTAGAAGCGAAAATGGAAAATGGAAAATAAGGGAGCAGGACGTAGGGCCCGTGAAATTCATTGCGCGTCTGAGCTCGGTTGGAACATAGGCCAGGAGTCTATAGCATGGAAAATGATCATCCCCAAGCGCCGCCACCTCCATCCCAACCTCGGACCCGCAAGGCGCTGTCTATCACTCGAACTGTGTTGAGGCATGAAGCGGTCTGGATGTACAACTGGCGAGCACCAACTACATGACACCTAGCCGGAAAATGCAAACGGAGACGCCAAACGACCCGAGCGCACGTAGACCAGACCTGGCGGACGGCGCTCGCACAAACAACCCTCGCGTTTCTGCTCCTCCTCGTCATCGCCGACCAGGGGGCCCTCATAATTCGTCCTTGAGGGCCTTCGCGGGGCAGGCCTGCACGATGGTCTTGGCCCGCTTCGCCTTTACAATTTGCGGCTTTGCCAAAATGGCTCGCGCTCCCAAGCGACGGCCCTGATCACGACAACGGCAGGAACGACGACCTTGCCGTTTCTCTTCGCCCCTTGTGTTACAGAGGCCGCAAAAGTGCTCAAGGCCTCGCGCTGATAACAACCCTCATCACCTCGCAGCTCTCCGCGAATACTGCGGCGAGAGTGCTTGTGGTCATGACCGTGTCCTTCGCGGTCTCTTCCTGCTCTGCTGCCGCCCCTTCTCCTTCTCCTCCTCCTCCTCCTCCTTCTCCTCCTCTTCCTCCTCGTCCTCCTCCGATGAAAAATGGCCCGCGCGGTCTCCGGACGGGGCGCGGCGGTTTCCCCTCCGCGCGCGTCGGTCGCAAGCTTAGCCGCTTAGCCAGCACGGCGAAGGCGCGTCGCGCCGCGCCGCCCCATCCCCCGCCGTGCGCCTCCACCACCATCGGGATGAAGCTGAGGTCGGCGTCGCGGCATGCCTGCGCCGTGCCTTGGCGCTGCCGTTCGTACTCCTCGTGCCGGTCGGGTCGGCGGCGGAGTGCCGCGATGTCTGCGCGCAGGCCCGACGTCACCGTGACGTCCAGGACGGCCGGGGACCAAGCGCGCCATCGGGGGACGTAAACATCCGCGGGCCGGCGGCCGTCGTTGTCTAGTCCGTCGCCATCTAGCTCATCGGCGTTCGGCCCTTCGCCAGTCGCCCACGGCGGCAACAGTCCGGGCCGCTCCAACTCCGCCCCCGAACAGCCGGCGGCCTGGGAGTCGAAAGAGGTTCCGTTCCGCAGCTTGCTGTGGCGGCGCGTGCGGTCGCCTTGGCAGGCCGCGCCGCGCCGCGGTCGCAGCACACGTCCATGACCTCGCCGCGCGCCAAGCAGAACCCCTCCTCGCTCATCAGCTGGATTCGGATATAAAACAAAGCTAGGATCGGGATTAATCGCTCCAGAGCGTTCCGGAGCGCTCTCAGAGCGTTCCGGAACGCTCTGGAGCGGCCGCGGCGCCCGATACATCCTCCAAACCCGCCGATTCTCAGAGATTCCGAGTTATCCCGATCCGATTTTGTCCCGATCTTCGCGTCGTTTGAGGATACGTCACTTGACCCCGACCTGCATCAGGCCAGGTATGCGGGGCCGCTGTGCCGAGCGCCTCGCTGGGGAGCGCTTGCAGGCGCGCGCAAATGCCGGCCGTGGCCACCAGGGCGAGGTGAGCGCGCGCGTCGCGGGCGAGGGGCGGCTCCAGAGGGCGGGGCGCGCGGCGTCGTCGACCTGGTGCAAGAGTCTCCTGGTTGGCATGCGCCTCGCGGCCGAAACCCGCGGCGCGTGCTGTTTCGGTCGCGTCCTCGCCCCTCTCCCCATCCTGGGAGGCTCCAGGCGAGGCGCCCGGAGCTGTGGCGGCCCCCCCACTGGGTCCTCCTCCTCCTCCGCCTCCTCCTCCTCTTCCTCGTCCTCGTCCTCCTCCTCCTCCTCCTCCTCCTCCTCCTCCTCCTCCTCCTCCTCCTCCTCCTCCTCCTCCTCCTCCTCCTCCTCCTCCTCCTCCTCCTCCTCCTCCTCCCCCTCCTTCTCCTCCTCCTTCTCCTCCTCCTCCTCCTCCCGCCCGCTTGGTGTGGACGCATCGGCTCCCACGGGCCGCGGCGGCCGCCGTTCCCCGCTCCCGCCTGTCGCGTCGTCGTCGCCATCGTCGTCGCCGCCTCCTCGTCAGCGTCGCCATCATTGTTACTGCCACCATCACCATCACCGTCACCACCATCAACATCACCTCCATAATCCAGACGCGCGTTTTGACAGCCCTGGGCCCCCGCGGAAGAGCAGCGGGGCCAAAACATGTAAAATACTTCGGGGCCACCTTTTCTTCATGACCCCATTAAGGAGCCCCAAACCCGTGCAACATCTATCCCTGGACAAGTCCTGGGATCTATCCTGGCAAGCTGTTCGAGCCGCGTCAAGCAGTGGCCACGAACACCTCCCGAGACGCCCAGCTAAAACTCAGGACACCTTTACCTCAGGACAAGTGTTCCTCATGGTGAGTCGTCGGTGGCGGTGTCGACGACGACGACGATCGGACGGCGACGACGAGTGACCTAGCCACGAGGGCGCCCTCCGAAGCCCGAAGAGGTCCATCACTTTCGACTTCCGAGACCAAGAAAATGGCAGCTTCTGACACCGCGTGAGTCGCCCGACCTTTGACGATCGTGCGATATCAGGCGGTGCTGGGCCACTAGCAGCGCTTCACCCTGAGCGCCCGCGCTTGGGTCACAACCGCTGGGAAAGGCTCGACGTATACACCAAATCATCTGGTCGGCAACGGCGCTCGGTGCATAGACACCCTAACTTCCCAATGTGTGGCTCCTCCTCTATGTCGGAATACGTCGTTCTACCACAGAAGTCCTGCGCCGGAATCCTTTCCTCCAGGGCCAGCCAGAGGGTGTGGTTTTCGGCACTGAGCCACTCCGAATCGCGCCTGCACTATAAAAAGAGCGAGAGAGAAGGGGGAGGGAGAGAGGGAGAAAGAGAGACAGAGGGAGAGAGAGGACCAATGAAGGTAAGCTTTCGGAGGTTCGCGCAAATGTCTTGGGTCGGCCCGATACCCCGCCTCCGAGTCGCGCTCCGCGCTCCAGGGCGGGCGCTGGAGACCCCCCAGGGGGCCCCTCGCGGATGCCAGAAATCCGCGCGGACCTCCGAATGTTTATGCTAATGAATTTGGTTGTCTTTCGACGCATCCAAATCAGAAGGCTACCAAAGCCTCCGGCCTTCGGACAAACTTTCTGAACCACCTCCGCGGCCACAGCAGACAGCGACGCCCACGGCGGCAGCGGCCGGCGGCGGAGACGGTGCGGGGAGAGCGGCGCTTGGCCTCCTCTGTCGATCACCAGCGGCGGCGGCGGCGCTGGCGCCGGGCCTGTCGCTGACCCCTTCCTGCCTCAGCAGCATCGCCGCCGCCGCGATCGCCGCCGCCGTGGTACGATGACATCCTCCCTCCTGCAGTTACTCCTCCTGCCGTTACTCCTCCTGCTCCTCCTCATCCTTCTCCTCCTCCTCCTCCTCCTCCTCCTCCTCCTCCTCCTCCTCTTGCTTCTCGTCATCCTCGATCTCCTCATCCTCCTTCCCCTCGTCTTCCTCCTCGTCTTCCTCTTCCTCTTCCGCCTCCTCCTTCTACTCCGCCTCCTCCTCCTTCTCTCTCACCTTTTCCTGCTAGCTCATCGCTCCACCTACCTCCTCCTCCTCCTGTTCCTCGCCCCTCCCTCTTCCTCTTCCTCCTCGCTCGACCCTCCTGTCGCTTCCTCTTCCTCGCTCTTCGCTCCTTCTCCTCCTGCTCCTTGCTCCTCGTCTTCCTCGTACTCCATTCTCCCGCTTCGTGTTCGTCGTCGTCCTGCACCACCTTTCAGGATGTAGAGGGAGGGCTGCGTCAGGGGGGAATGGGGTGGGATTCGAAACTGTTCGCATGATTTCGGCGGCTTGGGATGGCTTCAGACATTTGGAATGTTTGAGGGAAAGGGAAAGGGGGTGCCTCCAGGAAAGTGTGAACGCTCCAGAGGGCTGTGGTAGAAAGCTGTGGTGGTTCTAGGAGGTCATACTCTTCCTCTTCCAGCTCCCTGCACCCGAAAGATACCTCCGTCCTCCTGGTTCCTTGTTCTTACTTCTCATACTAGCCATCCTCCTCCCTCTCCTCCTCATTTACCCTCCGCCTTCGCCTCTGTTTGCCCTGCCTCCTCCTCTCCACCCCCCTACCAAGCCCCCCTCCCTCCCAACACCCTAAACCCATCCTCCTCCTTTATTGGTACCCTCCCCCTCGTCCTCTTCCTACTCCTCCGCCTCCCCATCATCAACATCCTCCTCCCGTGTTGACGGGGCACGTGTGCTGCGCGAAGAGCACGCTGCAAGTCAACGCATGTCCGTGGGAGATGGTGGAGGATCGGGAAACTGGAACAAAGGATTTACGAAGAGGAGGAGACAGGCCGATGAACATGTGTTCGTGGGCACTCGGCAACTCAGTGGTTCCCTGGGCGTCCTACAAGTTCCTACAAGAAGACGTGGATCGACACGTATTGTCTGCAATGGGGAGGGGTCACGTTCTCTTCCCCCATCAAATGTTGCATCCACCGGGCTCTAGCACGAATGTTCAGAAAGCCTGTGTGCGCGAGGCCCGCCATAACAGGCGGTCATCGACGTTCCTCGGGGTGGTCCGTCCGACGCCAAGCACTGCCAAGCAGTGTCAAGCAACGCCAATCAATGCTCGCCAGACAACGTCAAACGATACCAGTTAATGGCAATCAACGCCAAGCCTTGCATAAACTGCCATGCGGCGCCAGGCAACGATAGAACATGCTAGGCAGTGCCAAGTAACGCAAAGCAAGGCCAAATGCCAAGCAAGGCCAATCAACGGTAAACAACACGAAGCAATGACACACAATGCAATGACACACGGTGCCAAACAGTGCAAACTAATACCAAGCACATGCAGGCAACGCGGTTGAACGCCAACAAACGCAAGGCAATGTCAAATGACGGGCCCAAACGATGCTGAGTCCCGCACGTACAGTGCCATGCAGACCAAACCAACGTCAAACGATGCCAAGCGATTGCAAGCACTGTTTTGCAGTGCAGCGTTTGCTCAAAATTCATGCGACATGATTTGGAACACAAGTGGCCTTCAATTGGGGCCCGGGAAGTGCTCACGTGCTGTTACATTTTACACAAGTGTGTCCCACTCCTCCGCTTTGCGCTGCCCTTTGCTTTGACGGCGCACAGAGATTGCACAACGCAAGGGGCGGGGGGAACAATTGCAGGGGGTAGCACGAGGGGGGGAACAGGGGGCGGAGAGACAAAAGGAGGGGGTGCGAAGAGATGAACACGAACGTGGAGGCGGGGGATGGAACTGGAAGAAGGGGGTTATGACGATGATAACAGATGGAGATGATGATGCTGATGATGAAGAAGATGGTGACGATGATGATGGTGACGATGACGATGATGGCGCGTTGCATTATACTGCCGATTGAACCGAGGATCTCGGTCATAGCGGCGGACGTCAGCGCCTGGCCGTCAAGCCAGCAAATGCCCTCGCTTTTTCGTTGCGCCGCCAACCTGCTGCGACGCAGAGCTTCAGCACATGAGCTCGCGCGGGGATCGGCCCTGGATGCCGATGCAACAGCGCTTGCGCCAACTCGTCCAGAAGACCCGCCAAGAGGCGTGGACAGGGGGAAAGGGGGGGGAGCAGCGGCCGGGGCGGCATCGGCCAGGCAGGCGACAAAACATGCGGGGGTAGCTGGAAGAGGTCGTCGGCGGCAGTCGATGGCAGTCGGCGTCCGCAAACGGTCAACCTTGGCCCGGCAGGGGGCAAGGGAAAAGCGGCGGACGCGGAGGGGGTCGGGCTAAGAACGCTTACCACACGGCGTCCGCCGAGCCAGCCGCCATTGCACCGGCCAGCCGGGGCGCCCCGCGCTGCGCATGCAGCGTCGGGAACACGACCCGGAGACGAAGCGAGACTCCCTCGGCGTGCCCCTGCCCCGGGCCCCTTGGCGGCCGCCGTGCGCTTCGCCAGGACGGCCGCGGCGCGGCGCACATCTTTGCCCCCGCCGCCGCAGCGCGCCTCCATCACCATGGTTATGGCGGTGATGCTGGCCGTGCCGCAGCTGCGCGCGGTGTCTAGGATCCCACCAGCCCTCTGGGCGTGGTGGTCTAGGGAGTTTTCTCTCCCAACCCCCTTCTTCCCCTTCGGGGAGGGGTTTACCACTCGCCTTTACCCCCTCCCCTGCTCTTGGACGGGGGTGGTAGAGGGTAGTCTGAGCTTCGATCCCCCAAGATGTTTCCACGAGGGCCTCAGAGAGTGCAAGATGGCTTCCAATATGGCTCCAGATCGCAAAATGTCGCTCAAGATGGCTTCCAAGATGCCCCAAGAGGCCCCAAGACCGCCTCAAGACTGCTCCAAGTGCCCGTGGCTTTCTCGCCTATTCGCTTCCGATGGCCATCCGAGGCCTCAACAGGGCTCCAAGATGGACCACGAGGGCCCAAAGAGGGGCCCAAGAGAGCCCCAAGAGCACCCAAGAGCGCTCTAAGAGCGCCCCAAGAGGCGATACAAGGCACACTAAAGGGCACGGCTAGTTAAAGACCCCCTCTTGTTGTATCGATGTCGTCCAAGATGGCTCCAAGAGCGCCCATGAAGCTCCTAAGAGGTCACCAAGACGGCCCCAAAGAGCGCCCAAGCAGCTCCAGGAAGCGCCCAAAAGGCCTCCAAGAGGCTCGAGGCCTCAAGAGGATCCCCGAGGCACCCAAGACCCAAGACGCTCAAAGACGGCCCTGGGCCCACCAAGATGCCGCTCCCCAGATGCCCCACGAGGCCTCCAAAAACCTTCCAAGCGACATGCGAGGAGACTCCGAGAGGCATTCAAGAGGTTTCTGGCGCTTCCATTCGCCCTTTTCCTCCTCCTCCTCCTCCTCATCATCATCATGATCATCATCCTCATCATCATCATCATCATCATCATCATCATCATCATCATCATCATCATCCTTCTCCTCCTGCTCCTCATCCACTTACTCCTGCTCATCCCTCCTGCCTCCTCCGCCTCCCACACCTCATCCCCCCTCCTCCTTGTCCTTTTCCACATTATGTTTCTCCTCGTCCTCCACCTCCTCCAACTCCTCTTCTTTCTCTTCTCTTCTCGTCCCGTCTAGTCTCTTATGTTCTCTTCTATTATGTTATCTTATAGTATCTTCTCTTCTCTTCTCTTCGACCCCTCCACCTCCGATGTATCCTCCTTATTCCCCGTCCTGGTGTACGACGGTTTCTCCATCCCTGTGTTGCTGTATGCTCCTCCACGTCCTTGATCATGGCAACTCGTCTGTGCATCGTCTCTGGATGGGCTGCCATTCTCGTTCTCCCCCTCCGAATCCCTCTATTCCACTGCATGCTCCTCCCCACCCCTGATCAACGCAACTCGCCTGGGCGTCGTGTCTGGATGGGCTGGTGGGTGTTCTTTTCTGTCGCGGCCGCAAGCGAAAACGCAGGCGGCGTCCGAAGT